GAACCTCCTTTCTCTCCACCCGACTCCACGGCCAAAGGCTCCTCCAATTCCCTTCCTCCCATCTCAAGCTCCATGGCCCAAAATCCCCCACCCGACCACCCCTCTTGCGGCCAGCTTTGGATCCACAGCCGCCGACCACCTTCTCCATCCCCTTCCCTTGGATTTGCCTAAATTAGGTTGTGACTAATTTTGAATTAAAAAAATCTTTCCTAATTTAATTATTCTATTTTAGGAAAGTGTCCAATTTAATCCCAATTTTGATTTCAAATTCATGAGGATTTAAATTAACTCTTTCCTAAAACCAAAGACCTAAATTTGGTAGTCATCATTGCTTTCATTAATTGCCCCTTGCCCATGTATGTCGTCGGCCCCTACTCTCTCTCCTAGTCAATTGTGCTTCTTTACTTATTTCCTAATTCCAAATCCCCAAGTTAGGAAATAATTCCCAAATCTCCATTAACTCTTTTGGCCGAAATTTACTAGTCTTCATGGCATATTATTTCTTTCCAAACCTATTGATGGATTTGAGGAAATAAATCCCCACCTCCTCCCTTGCCGCCACCCCCTATTCCTCCCGTCCTCTTTTGAATTTTATTCAAAATTCAAATTGAGCACTCCTTAATTCTGAAATCTGAAATTGATTTTAGATTTGTACTTCTAAACTCCCTCATCAATCTCCCCACATTCCCAAAATCTGAAATTTATTTCAGATTTTTGGTCTTGTCTCTCCTCCCTCACACTAGCAAATGAGACTTCCTTCTCTTTGTTTAACATCAAGGATTCCATCAAGGCGAGTAGAGATTTGTCTTCCACTACCCATGAATGGCGGATCCGGAGACTGACTATGGCATAACTTGGGACGAGGACGGGTTCGTCGACATCCTACAATCTACGTTCTTCTACGTAAATCCACAGGTTGATCACACCGTAGAAGATTATTTGGAGCGCACGTTGATCTACTTGGTTGAAGCTATTGACGAACACTTCGAAGGCATTGAGTGTTGGATCTCCACTACCCCTTGACGAAGGTTCATCTTCCCCCTTACATCTTTTATCTCTTAGTCTAACTTCTCTTAACTTGATTGCAGTCACGGCGGGCTCTTCCACATTGCTCTTGCTTAAGCTTAGTAAACATAGGGTTGAGCGCACCTCTATGTTTTCCTATTCTCATTGTTAGACTAGGGATTATTTTGAACGCTACTATTATTCATTGTGTTGTTTTCTAATTATTTTGGAAGATTGCAAAACTCTCACCATGTGATTTAGCCTAAGCGGATAACCACTAATCGTTTTGACCCGTTGTTTGAATTCGTTAATAATTTTGTTCTAGAATTATTCTAATCAGAAGTTGTGCAAAATCCCTTAAGTTAAATTGCATTTCATTTACGTAGTCCTGCATCATCAAGCCATCCGAGAAGCCATGCATTGCATGAGGGTGGGAATGAGTGTCGGGTTAATTGCTCTGTAGAAAGACGGGGGGAGATTTTTTACAGATGCAAGGAACTCTTTGTTTCCTGCACAATACTTGTAGAAAAGCAAGTCATCTATCCATAGGTTTTATACTTATAACATTTTTTTTGTCAGTCATTTTTTTTTCATTAAGCATGAAGCTCTTGAGTTGTAAGTAACTCTTGTAATTGAATCTCTTAGCTTAAAAGAAGAAAAGGAAAATCTCCTCATAAAAATGAGTATTGAAAATTATGATAGTGTGATATTGAGGTATTGGCTAAAAAGGTTAGAGCTTTTTCTGGTTTCACGTATAGTATGTTGATTTAACTTTTTTTCTCATTTTGTTTCCTTTGTCTGAATATGATATTGTTTACATGATTTTTGTTACATCCACTGTTTGAGATTTTTTTAATCCAGTTTTAGTGATGTCGTTATATACAGAGATAACTATTTTATTTGGCGTGATTTTTTTTTTAAACCTTTTATGCATTCCCAAATGTTCAGGGCAATGTGTTGTCATTTATTGGTTGCAATATTTTCCTTTTAATTGTTTTTAAATTGAACTATTGTCTAAGATCCATTTGACTTTCATGCTGCCGTGTCACCACCTACATTTACAGACTTAGAATTGGTTTTTTGTTTTACATATCCTTTGTTTTATATCGGCTATTTTTTATTCAATTGGTTTTTTACATTATTTCAGCAAAACTATACTGTCTTGGATGAAACTGATATAAGGCAGCGCCAAGAGGATGATATACGTAGTCTATCAATGGTACTGTCGACTTCAAGAGTTCATGCATGTCTTCTTCTCCGTCATTTTAACTGGTAAGCTTTTCCTAGTAAAATCGGCCTGATTTTGTCCCTGTGAACTTTTTTGTTTCCCCCTTATGCTAGTTCTTTTCATTTGATTTATTTACAAGTATTTCATGCTTAGGAAAATGCTTGATATTTTCTGAGGCATACTTGATATTTTGCCTTATCTTTCTGATGATACGCATGAACATTTTTAACTTCATTTACATTTACATGCCTGTGCAGATTGATAAAATTTATACAATGCTCAAATGACTTGAATTTTATCGCCTTTCTCATTTTTTATGTCAATATGAAAACCATGTAGCAGTAGATGGTTTTTCAATCCTATAGTTAGAAATACTGAAATTGTGATTGGAGTAAAAAGGAGAACAAGCTGTCCTAATAATCTAGCACTATAGAAGGTCATGAATCTGCTTTCTTTATTAAAGTGTTTCCTTAATGATGCTATGAGAAGAAAATATATTTTAGGTGTAAAGTGAGAGGGGGGTCACTTGCATTTTAAGCTACACATATTTGATGAAAAGTAGATGTGTTAGGGGAGTAGAAGTATTAGATTTGACCTATGTTTAGAAAGATATATGTAGACTTAAAAAGACTTAGTTAGAAAGTATTAGAAATGACCTTTTTTTATTATATTTAAATGAGAATTTGACTCTTAATAGGATATAATGGAGAAGAAGGATCATATATTGGGCCCCACGCAGTGGGATAAAGGCTTGAAGTTGTTGTTGTATGTTTTGTGAAAAATATTCATAAAGCACTTGCATCATGCGTGCTAAAAAATTTGATTAAACTTTATACTCAGATTAATATAAAGATTAATATGTTGAATGAATCTTAAGTGTTGGGAAGTAAAAAAGCAGCTCTAAATTTTGGTGAGTATGATAGAAATGAGATTGATGAGATAGATGCATGATAAATTTAGAAATGATAAATTAAGGAATGATTGCATTAGAGGACAATTGGAGTAACATAAATTAAAGAAATTAATGGAAATAGACTTATGTTTTTTGAATATGTACAACAAATGATAGAAATTACATGCATTGATTGGGTATATAAAAATAGTGTTGAAGGATTAAGAAAGAAATGGGTGTATCTAATGAGTCTTCCATAGAAGTTGAAAAATATTTACTTGGGATAAATTTTAACAGCTCATGTAACTCTAAGTGGGAACAAATGAAAAATGATGATTCATAAAGCAAACACCGAGAAAGATGATGATGTTTAAGATGATGGTAATGCAATACCATTGATTGTATTTTATCTGATATCCTTTTATCCTGTATTCTGTATATGCCTTTATGGACAGGAAGACTATTATTATTGATTTTCAATGCATACTCTTTGCCTTCACTACCTTGGAAGAATTGATCAATTGATCTTATGTTTGTACAGGAGCGTTAGTAAGGTGCATGAAGAGTGGTTTGCTGATGAAGAAAGTGTTCGGAGGGCTGTAGGTTTGCTGGGGAAGCAAGTTGAAATGCCAGATGTTGCAGAAGTATGTTGATAAACTTAAAACTAATTAATTTTCCCATCTTTTTTTGAACTTTGTAATTTGTTATTGATTTTTCTTGTTATGCTCGTTATTTTAATAATATACATAAAAATCTTTAGGAAAAAGCTCACAATGGTTCCTGACTATTTATACAGGGCCAATTTAATTCTCAAAGTATCATATTTTTCCAACTTAATTCCTTGACTAATACAATATTTATCCCGAATGATTCTGTGGGTATGATATCTATTTTGTATCATAACTTCTATCAATTTGCGCATGAGTACTATTTAGAATACTTTTTTATATAGATGAGGGATTAATTTGGTGAAATGTGATATTTTGGGACTGAATTGACCACATATGAATAGTTGGAGAACTATTTGTAACTTTTTCTCAAAATCATTAGTAGTTTTGATGGTTGACTTTTCTTTTTAGAGGATTTCTGTTAATATGTCCTTTAAATGCAGTAATACATTCTACTGAATTGATATCCCGAGGCCTGACTACCCTTTGTTAATGCATTTTGTAAGAAAGCGATATGACATTCAGTTAGGAATCTGCCAGGCATCAACCCAGACTGTCTTCAGCTTTACATTTATATATGATCAGATAAAAGTAGTATTCTTGAAACATTTGATATGTGGCAGCTGTTATTGTTTGCTTATGCTTGGAAGATGATGCATATGCATTGGGTATTTAAGTAGAAAATGAATATTAAGGATTCTAAATGCGCTCTTTTTTATTTTGTTCATTTGACCTTGAACTGCTTGCTTCTGTTGGCAGCTGCTATGTGGAATATGCTTTGAAGTTCATCCTCGGACAGCAATGAGCTCTACTGCTTGTGGTCACCCGTTTTGTGATTCATGTTGGAGAGGTCTATTCATCTTCTTATGTTAAAGCCTATTTTTTATATGAGTTCAATTTTTAATTTAGAACCGGTTATTTGCATATTTGTTGACTATTGAGCATTTACGCTGTAAAAATTGTGAAACAAATTGCTATAAGTGTAATTATGGCAAAAAATTGGACATTATTCTTGTTATTAAGTACTAGTTTTGCTTAACTGCTCTGCATTTTTTCTTAATTTAGTCAATTCCTGGGATTAAATTAAGCAAGTTTTAGTTTTTCCACATTCTCCAATTCTATCTTACTATGGTGCAATTTAAGAAATATTTACACTGGCTTGCTGTGCTGAAATGACATTTTGATCTTTAATATCTAATTTTCCCATCTCCTAACTGATGATCTCAAACACTTAAGATGATACTTGATTAGCTTGGCACATTTTAACAAGCTTATGTAGAATATTCTAGAGCTAAAAGGATTTGAATAGATTTGAAGATATTCCAGTGTTGAATGGACATACTAAATTGTCTTTATGCCAGTTCTTTATTGTTCCTTCTAATGCAGAAGTAAAATACTGTATCTATTTTATGGTGCTATTGAGGTCCTCCTTTGGGCAACAAAAAAATTAAATGACTGGTTTCTGTTATATTTGGTGAACTCATACGCAATTTCTTGTAAAAATAACTAATTCAATATTTAACAGTCTAAGGAATGCCTGCATTCTTGTCAGAATAATTTCCAAATGGAGGCTAATTAATAATGGATATTTAACGTAAGCAATTTTTTAGGCCATTTAGATTGCAATACCATGTTTTACGACAGATTGCACATATTGCGATAGGACTTATCATCATAGGTTTCCATGTCACAACTTGCTTCAGTTTCTGCTTGTGTGGGCCACCAAGTATTCTATCTTATATATGTAATCGGAATTTAAGGTCTAATTTCTAATGGTTCTATGTTGATTGTAGAAATCAAATATCTTATTTCTAGTTTATTTACTTTGATAGGTTGTCATTGGTTTACTTTTAATGGTGATAATTAATCTTGAACATTGACAGGTTATATAGGAACAGCTGTGACTAATGGCCCAGGCTGCTTGATGTTGAGATGTCCCGATCCATCTTGCAGTGCTGCTATTGGGCAAGATATGATTGATATTCTAGCTATTGATGAAGATAAGCAGAAGTATTCTCACTACCTCCTCAGATCATACATTGAAAATAACCGGAAGGTTCGTTAGAGAGTGAACATGTAATGCTCCCTGGTATTAGGCGTTATTTCTCTTACGGTATTCCACCTAGTTTTTTTATTTTAACCTTCATATATGCAGACAAAATGGTGTCCTGCACCTGGATGTGAATTTGCTATTGACTTTGTTATGGGATCTGGAAGCTATGACGTTTCTTGTAATTGCTCCCACAGTTTTTGTTGGAATGTAAGCACTTGTCAATACATAATTTATTCTTAATAATTAATTTGTTTCAAAGGATTCTGAATCTGCTCAAGTAAATCATGCAGTGTACAGAGGAAGCTCATCGTCCAGTGGAATGTTCCACTGTGGCAAAGTGGATATTAAAGAACAGTGCAGAGTCTGAAAACATGAATTGGTAGGAATAACCACGTGCTTTCTTCATGTTTTTTTTTTCCCTTTTTAGTCACTGCATAGAAAGAATATTAGCATCTGATTTCTGATAAATCAAATTGCTAACGGAAAACTTTGTCAAGTTCTTATTCATTTTTTCAGAAAATCTTAAATTGACATCATCTATGTTGCCAATAGATTTTTGTCCAATTGATTGTGATTCATTAACAAATGTTGGCCATGTTAACATTTTGCATGTATTTTTCCTATGAAGTTATACTTTTGGCTATTGAAGATTTTTGTCCATGCATGTTTCTTTATATATTTGCATGTGTTTTGTGATAATATCAGTTCGCTGAAGAGAGACTTCTGATTTTCTTAAATATTTTTTAGGAAATATTAAATTCTATAATCTTTGTTGCCAAAGGATTTTTGTCCAATTGAATGTAATTTCTTAGCTGATGTTTGTAAAATTAACATTTTGCATTCATTGTTCCTATTAATTTATATTTTGATGAATGAAGAAATTTTATTATTCTAATTTGTGATGACATGGATTTACCTTTTATGTCTGACTATATGGAACAACGAACTCATTAAAGATGAAATCTAGGAAAAAATAAATAAAATGTTATGTTTTCTAATCTTACCTATGGGATATGATTAAAGGCAAATAAGTTGTTTGCTACCCAAGCTTTTCTTCCTGGTACTGTTTTTGGCGAGCTAGTTTGAAATTGTTATTTAAAAGTAATGCCTGAAATTAAATTTTGAACTTAGTGTTAGTCTTGCATCGGGCATACGTCCTGGAATGTCTATTCTGTTTCAGATGGGTAAACGATCAAGATGTGGTTTTGGGTCCTTGGAAACTTGTGGTTCTCAAGATAGCCGTATAATTCATCAATTTCTCAAGATATATGAGAGTTTTATTTCAAGCCTTGATTGCATCTATTTATCTGCTTTTTAAGGAATTTAATGTTTTTAATATTCTTAAACCATTTTCATATTGTTATTTACTTTTTATTTCTTTTTCAAAAAAGAAGCATGATTCCATCAAAGAACTTTTTATAAAAAATTCTTATTTAGTACTTGGAAAGAACACAGTTGGAGTTTTCCCTGATATCATCTGTGCAGGCACGTGTGGACTTTTTTCCCTGAACACGGTTGTTGGCCTTTTTTTTAGCTGTTTTTCCTGATATCATCTCTGCTTTTTAAAGAGCACAATGTATAGATGGTTTAGCTTTAACTTTTTGATGGGATGAAAATTGATTATTTTTCGTAAATATTTGAAAATCTGATTAATTTTAAACTAAAATGAGAATCCCCCTTTGTCAACTGCTGCCCTGCTTTTCTTATTTTCTTTGTCTTTCAAACATGCATATTCGTATGGATGCCCACACAGTTTCATATTCAAAGACATAATAATTTGATTACGCAACGCACCTATGCTTTTCCAGCTTGTTACAAAAAAGAAAAAGAAGAAGGAGAAAAACTATTCTAATTTTCTGTCGTTATACATTTTTTAGCTGTCTAAAGTAGGACGTTGCTCTTTTAAAATATATTCTCTTGCTTGGTGTCCATTTGACTAGTTGTTTTTTATGTTTTGAATTCTTATCTCAGGATATTGGCTAACTCCAAACCTTGCCCTAAATGCAAAAGGCCAATTGAGAAAAATCAAGGCTGCATGCATATAACTTGCACACCACCATGCAAACATGAGTTCTGTTGGTAAGAATCTCTGATGTCATACTTAAATGCTATATTTTACTTGGTTTTCATTGATATGGTTGGTGAAATTTGTAAAATCATCTTAGGTTATGCCTTGGTTCATGGATAGAGCATGGGGAGAGAACTGGTGGTTTTTATGCCTGTAATCGCTATGAAGCTGCAAAGGAAGAGGGGGTGGTATGCTTCATGCGACATATCTTGTTATTTCTGATGTAATTTATGATAATATGTGGAATGCTTTTCTATGAGGTATTTGTTCATTTCAGTATGATGAATCGGAAAGGAGGAGAGAAATGGCCAAAAACTCTCTTGAGAGATACACGCACTACTATGAACGATGGGCTACCAACCAACGAGTATGTTTTCTCTCACGTATATCTTTTCTGACCACAGTTTGATTATGGATTATCAATTGTCTTGATATCTTTTAGTCATGATTACAATTAAAGGTTGTTCCACCTTTTAAAGGCTGGCATTATCGCAGATTTTTATGTTTAAAAGCATGCTTGCATATAAGATTTGCTCTGATAGAACTGAAGATCTTTTAAGAAAGATTGACTCAAAGTTCTAACTATTAATTGGTTTAGTATTTGTTTTTCCTTGATACTTTTCAATGAACAACATTTTTGCTCCTTTGTTGATTTTTCTTTTCATTCTGCCTGTCATGCAAAATAATGCCAATTTTTACGAAATCCATGGTACTGTGCAGGATGCCTTTTTTTCTTTTCCACATCCAAGATTAGCTATTGGTTCTTTCCAGAGAGAAAATTGCCAACAGTTTGGCAACAGAGAAATTCATTGTGGCTCTACCCTCCTACCATTTCTAAGACTAGTTAATAGTTAGGTTTAGTTGGTATTGCTAAAAACATCTGTAGACATCTTTCTTTTGAAATGGTGGATATTCTAAATTTCTGCAACTGAATTTGTCTCTCAAGTACCTTATGTTTGTTTGAATAGATAAGGTTTTCAGATGTGGAGCTTAGAATTGATGGATGCTCTATCTATCCTCAAGTATTTGGGTAAACTGAGATTAGTAAAAATTGTACGTGTAAACAGAACTGAATGACATGGCATTCACAAAGCTGATCCGAAGTAGTTGGTCATGATTGAAAATTGGGATGCGAAATACTTACAGAACTGGTAGGAAATATGTGAGGCAAGGATTTTGGTGCAACCTAAGTTCTTAAACCAAATAGGAGAACACTAGGAATGCAAAATTAGATACTTTCTTTCAATTTCACATAAACAAATACCAAAATGATGGACACTTAGTAGAAAACTAATATAGGACATTAGTTAGGAAGTCGCATAAGAAAGAGCAAATAACATAACACAAACTATAAGCCATAAGAACAACCACGAATGGTCACCTCACATGCAAACATAAACTAGGAAAGGTGCTTAAAGGAAAGGAAAAACTAGCGATCCACCACATGAATTAGGTTCTAGCACACAAGACTTTGCTCATCTGGTAAATACAAATGGAACAGGGCACAACACCACTTACAACTCACAATAGTTTAGAGAAGAAAGATACAGGTGGAAGAGAAACCGTGAAGAGAAGAAGTAGAAAGAAGACTGAGAGGAAGAAATAGTGGTTAGGGAGAAGACAACTCACAAGCTATGAAGAAACCCTCAAGTTTAAAATGAACACGCTCCAAAAACTCTAGCCTAATGAAAATCAACCGCTATGTATAGGAGAAATAGGGGAAATAACATTTAATTGCTCACATAAATGTGCCCCCAAACAGCCAATAAAACCCACCCAAATCAGCCCACAAGTGTAGAAGCCAAAGCATTATGCACAGGGAAACAACAATTGGAAAACGGAGTGGACAGCAGCAGGGAAACGGAGTGGACAACAGCAGGGAAACCGAGTGGAAAGCAGGGAAACCGAGTGGACAACAGGAAAAAAAACCAAGCAACCATCAATCTAAGGGAAGGAATGGGCTAAGCTCAATAAGGAAAAGAAACAACCCACAAATAATCACCCAACCAGCCAATAATGAGCATGATCAACACAAGTGGAAAGACACTGGTATGAACCAACCCGAGATCACCAAATCCGGCATGATCATGGGTTATTTTTCATCATAGGGTCATACAAAATAAAATTACATAACGTTCAAAACACAAGAAAATAAAAATATATATTAAATGATAAATCTTGATTGCATTAGATTTTAGTTGGGGGGGGGGGTTCCCTTATTCGGTTGGTATAAAATTGAAGAAATTCAGTGTTATGGGTTAAATGGAGGAGATGACATGAGTTGGATAGTTATTTACTTCCCAAACTTGTTTTATGTGGTAGTTAGTTCTGTGTGGAGTCTGATTGTGCTTATCAAACGGGTTGTTTTATTGCCTCAGACCTCAGTTCAAATTATCGTGCTCGCTGGGGGGTACGAGAGGTTTACCCCATGCTTGGGTTCTGAATTTTTTTTTTTCGTACAATGCCATGGCGTTGTGTACACATGTGCCCAACGCTGATCGACAGAGAGCAGAGCGCCGCAACGCTCTAGATATGGCACCACAATGTTGTGTGACGCCGCACGCCGCAACATCATGACGACAGAGGTTTTAGCATTGCAGCCCTCCAAATTGGTGCCACAACGTTGTGAGACGAACTGGATTGTTTTCTTTCTCATTTTTTTGAAGGGTTGCATCCTTTGGTGTTATCAACTTGACTTTCTCTTGTGAGAAAAGAGAGATTTGTACTTATTTTTCCAATTTTCATAGTGGATTTCTTGGTGTGGTGTGACTCCGTGGTTTTCTCCTGATTTCGGGTTTTTCCATGTTAAAACTTGGTGTCCTTTATTTTTCGCTACTTTTACTTGTTTGTTTTCATCGCGCAGTTTACTCTTCTCAATCCCCAACAGCTGGTAAGGTAGATATGCTGGATTGTTTGCAGGACGGTTGCCAACTGCTGTGGAAAGTGAAAAAGAGATGAAATCTGGCTTTCCTACTTGCTGTAATGTATAATCAGGCTGATTGGGATGGAGAGGTAGTTTTAGGAGACAATGAATCAATTTCTATTCAATAAAAATTAGACTTCAGATTACAAATTTGATCTCATTTCGTTAGAGATTCATCAAACATAAAAAAATCTATGCGTAGGAACTAACCCTTAAAAGTACTAACAACTCTTAGATTCTCTCCTTAAAAAGCGGTCAACCTTAGGATAAGGAGGGGATAAGTTGTTGGAGTGAATATTAAGTAGTTTATTTGATTCTCTCAACTTGCATTTCTCCCGCCTCCTTGGAAGCCCACATATTTTGGAAAGTCAAATTGTATTTTTGTAACTCAATGTTTCATTAATTCTTTTTTATAATTTTATGCCTCAAGGTTAGAAGCCTCACTTTAATCATGGCTCTCAATTCTATGCTTCAACTTTGGGACGGTTTATTCTCTCTTTTTAAAATGCCAATTTGCAATTTGGATGTTGCCTCTGTACTTTCATGTGGAAGAGAGTTCATGACATTATGTTGAAATCATCCAGCTTGTTGGTTTTCTCCATATCCTTTGAAGATGGAATAATAAATGGACTAATTGTATATATTTTTCTCTTCTCTTAACAAGCACAAACTTTTATTGTCTTCTAACGAAAATAACATACCTATCCTATAGATATTAACTAAACAATTTTACGTGGCATACATGACATAGATCCATTGATATAACTTCACTTCTGCCTTATCAGTGAAATTTATAAACAAAATAAACCAAAAAAGTATATTTTCTAGTAACCAGGCAAGCCTTGCTTTTCTTGGACCGACCTAAAGAATTTATTTTTTGATGCTTGGTAGTGACTAGCCATGTTTTCTCAACCAAAGATTTAGAGATGAGGTTTGTTTCTCTTTTTGGATCCAAAAAAGTATTAACAAGGGCAGATTTTACCCAAAGTTTGAGGTGGAAATGTATTTCCATGCTTTCTTCACTTGCATGTTCTCATGTGCATGCTCCATCAATGATATTGCCATATTTTCCTTTTGTCACTCCTTTAGGGGTGTCAATATTTGACACGACTTGAAAACCCGACAAGAACCCAGCCCGAAAATTGAAGTTAGGCTCAACTCGAACCTGAAACGGATTGTGTTTGGGTTCAACAAATTGACCCGCTTCAAAAACTGGGTTGGGTTCAGGTTGACCCAGAAACTCGAAATTGACCCATTTTTTGAGCTGAAAACCCATTTTGATCCGGAAAACTGAGAATGACATGTTTTTTACTTGAAAATCAGAGATTAACCCATTTTTTGACCATAAAACTAGCAATTTTTGGTTGGCCCGTGACATTCGGGTCGTGTCGGGTTGACCCAAACTAGAAGCGGGTCGGGTTCGGGTCAGAAAAACCGACCCGGTTGCAAAAACATGTTGTGTTCGGGTTGACCCGAATAGCGCTTGGTCAGTTTCGGGCTCGACCCAAACCCGACCCGTAACCTGAAATTAACACCCCCTACACTCATATTGCAATTAATTCTTATGAAATAGGAGTGAAGATTTTTTTTCTTGTCTTTTCATTTTGTCGTTTTATTCAGATATAAATTCCACTATCACTTAAGTTTATGCTTTGGATTTTTGCTGTAACACTCAGTGGTCGATTGCTTTGCTACTCTGTATTTGAACTTTTAGTCTTCTCCTTCTTTGTTGTTGTAAGTTGGGCATTTTTTTCAATAATTTTTCCTCAATTGTAATAGCTTTTGCGCTAGCTTCAAAGGCATCAATAATTGGAAAAAGTTTAAATTCTAAGAAAAAGTTTTCTGAGATCTTGCTACATATTCATAAATACAAAATTTATCCAACAAAATTTCTATAAGTTATCTGCCTTGAAAATTCCATCATGTATTTTTGTACATATTGCCTGTAATCTTTCATCAAATTATTCCATCAAATCTGTTTTTTTTTTCCTTCTTGATCGATGGGATAGAATTAAGCTTTTGATAATATTCTAAACTCTCATCATATAGTTTGTAAATTTCAACATACAAATCATGAAATATATTTGATAAAAATTGTAAATTGCCTTAACTTTGATTGTTTCATTGAATTAAGGAAACCCAAACTTTACTTCTATCTTAAGTTTAAAATCTTCTCTTTTCTGTGTTCTTTTTAGCTTCTTTTCTTGCTGATGGATTCTCCTTCATATGTCAAACTATGAGTTATTTTTCCTTCTTTCAGTGCAGTTGGTGTAACCTTAGCTTTAAGAGTTTTAATAGTAGAAATCATTGTAGTTATTTGTTTGACTGTTTATTATTTTAGACTAAATATTTTCTTTTCATTTTTTTGTAATCCTCATAATCGTAGATCTTAGTTTTTATAGAATCACCAATAGTATCCTTCCTAGCCCTTAATTTTTTTTTCTTAGTCCTTAATTTAACTGTGGAAAGAGTTGGATCTAGGGTTTTGATGCCAAAGTTTGATCTGTAATTGGGGTGTTGAAAACTTATGGAGCTGATAAGAAATATCTAGGTCAAGGATTTTAGACCTTCTATGAAATATATTGAGCGATGATGGGGGTTTCCCCTATTCTTTTGGCTTAAACAATGAACAAATTTACCATCATGGGTTAAATAGAGAAGAGGACAGCAATTAGATGCTTCTGTCCTTCCCTAGGCTTGTTGTTGCGGGCATCTTGTAGTGTAGATATACTAGACTTGCTTCAGGAGATCATCGCTTGCTCTAGATTGTGAAAATAGGGGCAAATCAACACTCCTACTTAATGGAATATTAAACAAAGGGAGAGAGGGCCTGCCGGCATGGGAGGAGATTTGGAAGTTTTGGGAGATTAGAAATCAATATCTATCTAATTAAAACTCAATTTCAAGTTACGAATTTGATCTCTATTTATAGAGATCCAAAAAACCTCTAAAAATCTACTCAAATTTAAGAACCTATTAAATAGGAGTGGACCCCTAAAATCAGCTAACAACTACTAGAATCCCTCCTTTAAAAGCGGCAAACCTTAAGATAAACATGAGAGATTGGAGTGAATTTGTATAGTTTACTTGATTATCTCCATTTTCATTTCTATCTCCTTTGTCCTTGGCTGCCACATGTTTTGGAAATTTAAATTGCAATGTTGCAATTAAATTCCTTAGTACAATTTTTACAATTTTGTCCTAAGAAGTTAATTTTGAGATTGTTTGGAAAGTCTCTTGGTTTCGGTATAATCTTGATGATAACAACTATTACGGTTCCACTAAAGTCTTATTGGAAACCAGATCTAAAATGTTAACAACTAGGTCAGCTAAGTTTCCTAGACAATTTTAAAAGGAGTAATCTCTTTTAGTTTTATGGTAAAACCTATCGTTTCTTCTTTTTTATGCTGCTGTCATACCATATTTTGCCAAACCCATAGCATGTGTAGTATTGCATTATATTTTCCTTGTTCAAGACTGGATGATGGACCTTACTATACTGCCATGTGCCAAACGTGGAGGGAAATTGTATAGTTTCCTTGATTATCGGTCATTAAAGGGTTTCTAAAAAAGAGAAAAATATTACAATAGTGATGCATTCACTGTTTAGAGGCCATATTTGCATTTAGATAAGCCTTTTTTTTGGTTCCTCTTGTACCTTTTTTTTTATCATTCCTTCTCTGCTATCTATCTGTTACCTTTTTTTTTTTTTTAAATTCTGGGTTATCTTCACTTGAACATGGCTATTTTTTAAAGAGCTATGTTATGTCGTGATTATCTGAAACATTCTTTCTGACTGGGCTTCATTAAAGTCAAATGTAATATTTATCTACATTTTTTACAGTCAAGACAGAAGGCCCTCGCACAGCTGCACAGTATCCAAACTGAGAAGGTATGCCATCCAATTTTTGTATTCTTTTATCATTTTGATTTCATTGCAGATAATTAAATATTAATTTCATTAAATTTATATGGAGATGAACTGTTTCATTAGTTTGAATGTACCATCTTAATCAGAGCAGCCTAGTTGTAATATCTTACCATTGAACATGTAAACCAAGACCTTGCACTGTAGATACCCTTGAACAATTTTGTATTTAGAGATAGTAATGAAATAATTTAAATCCATGTTTTTTTTTTTTTTTTTTTTTTTTTTTTGCAATACAATCTTGTGTCACAAGAGAATTTCAAAATACATATGTTATACATATGCTAGTGAGCATTTGTCAGATACACAACAGAATTTTAAATACATGTTGATTTCTATGCATAATACTTCTTCAAGTATCGGCCGTTAATTGGGGGCATAGGTCTTTGACCCTCCAGATCAATCAATTGATAAGCTCCTCCTTGGTACACTTTCTCAATGACGAATGGGCCTTCCCAATTGGACACAAATTTTCCACCAATTTTTCGATGTGGGATGATTGG